AAGAATCATTATAAAAATATAAAAAGTTATTATTAAAAATGAATATATATATATATATATATACATACACACACACACACACACACACACACACACACAAACCACATGGAGAGAGTAAAGAAATATTCCCTGGGACTCCCAGGCCTGGTGACATAATGAGGTCTTGAGGGACTTCTGGAACAATAGCAGGGATGGAACTGACCTGACCGGGAGTGGGGAGAATGTTCCACAAGGCAGGCATCACGGCAGAGAAGGTCTACTTTCTAGGACCCAAATGTAAGTCCCTGGCAGATGGTACTCACAACATGCCTTCTTTGCCAGATCTAATGGGATGAGCTGATGTACTTGGGGAGACGCAGTCCCTCAGCTAATCTGGTCCCATGCAATGAAGGGCTTTAAAAGTTAAAACCAGCACCTTGAATTGGACCTAGAAGCAGACTGGCAGCCAATGCAGCTTGAGGAACAGATGTGTAATATGGGCTCTTCTAGGAGGACACATAACTGCCTGCAGCATTGCATTCTGCACCAGTTGAAGGTTCCAGATACTCTTCAAGGGCAGCTGCGGGTAAAGCCCACTACAGTAGTCCCATCTGGAGGTGACTAGGACATGAGTGACTGTGAGCAGAGCCTCTGGATCCAGGAAAGGACTCAACTGGTGCACAACACTTTTTATATTTTTTGAAGCAAACTACCTGCATGCATCATATCACCAGAAGTCAAACCAGGGCCACCCAGAGGGGACTCAGATACATCAAGATAGTGCTTGCAACACACCTACAAAAAGTGTAGGGATTTGATTATATGGGCAAATCTGCTACCTTGACTTTTTTGGTGCACTGTCCTACTCCTGAAGGATTTCAAATAGTTACTCTCTCTCTCTCTCTCCCCCTCCCTCCCTCCCTCCCTCTGTGTGTGCGTGTGTGTATCTTAGTGTATTTGGATGATGTGCATTTTTCAGAAATGAGTAGTCATGTCATATGGATATTTTTAAATTATTTTTTCACATTATTATATGAAATGAGGCAGGATGCTGATTCTTTGCAAAGAAAAAAGTTTCTATAATATACCGGATGAATACAAATCCTTGGCTTAAATGCTATATTCACAAAACCAGAATACTACAAAGTTAAAAAGGTATTTAATTAAAAATAGCACAGTGTGTGCACTACGTTTCAAATATTTAATACTAAATTTAGTAGCACTAAGATTTGTTAATATAGAGATGACCTGTATAACAGTGTCAAATCTGCTTTTTCTCAGAGACACAGACATTCATATCTGGTGAAATTTTATATTAAAAATCTAATTAAGAAGGAAGAAGAAAAGCCTATTATTATTTTTATGAGGAACAGAGGGGTGAAACAAAACTCTTATCTTCAGTGTTAAAACAAATGAGTCTCCTATCATAGATAGATAGATAGATAGATAGATAGATAGATAGATAGATAGATAGATAGATAGATAGATAGATAGATAGATAG